ACTAATCACGCCTTCGAAAAAAACCCTAAGGCATGCCATAAGAACTATTCCTCTGACTAACAATGAAGCCGAGTACGAAGCTTTGATTGCAGGACTCGAGGTGTCCCGTGGACTAGACTTCAAGGTCATAGAAATCAAATATGATTCTCAATTGGTAGTAAATCAGGTCTACGGAATCTTCGAAGCCAAAGAGAAATGCATGCAACAATATGTAGTGGAAGTCCAGGCTCTGCTCGCACGGTTCAAGGAATGGTCAATTACCTACATCCCGAAGGAAGAAAATGCAAAAGTAGACATACTAGCCAATCTGGGATCGTCCACGGAAATGAAAAGATCGGACTTCGGTACAGTCGTGCAGCTTATGCATTTGATATTGTACATAGACGGCTATTATGAAGTAAACACGACCAATTTGGTCTGGGATTAGAGGAATGAGATCATTGACTATCTCGAGCACGAAAAGCCACCCGAAGATCCCAAGGCATCCCGGCGCTGCGCACTAAAGCAGCCTGATACTACTTCATGGGAGGTCAATTGTATAGAAAATCTTTTCAAGGCTCGATGTTTAGGAGCCTCCGAAGCTAATTACGTTATAAGAAAAATTCACGAAGGGATATGCGGAAACCACTCTGGTGCGGACTCTTTGGTATTAAAGCTAATTAGGGCGGGATACTACTGGCCCGGATGGAACAAGATGCTAAGGCTTATGTTCAGAAATGCGATAAGTGTCAACACCATGCACTGTTGGTGCATCAACCAAGAGAGTTATTACACTTAGTTTTGTCACCCTGGCCATTCATGAAGTGGGGGATGGACATAGTTGGTCCGCTGCCACCGGCTCCCGGTAAGGTAAGATTTCTTTTGATTTTAACTGACTACTTTTCTAAGTGGGTTGAAGCAGGTCCTTACTAGAAAATCGACGAGCGCGAAGTGGTAGATTTCATATGGGAAAACATAATTTGCAGGTTCGGGATACCAAAAGACATAGCCTGCGACAACAGACCATAATTTATAAGAGCAAATGTGACCAAATTTCTCAAAGACCTGAAAATCAAAAAAATCACATCATCGCTATACCATCCGAGCGCAAACGACCAAGTGGAATCGACAACAAAATGTTTATTCAAAATCTCAAAATGATATTGGAAGCAACCAAAGGCAAATGGCCCGAAGAGCTACCGGGAGTACTATGGACGTATCGAACAATGGCCAAATCGAGCATGGGGGAGACACCTTTCTCTCTTGAATATGGAGAAGAAGCCTTGGTCTCGGTGGAAGTAGGAGAACCTACCATGATATACTTCCAAGTGGATGAAGAAGCAAACAACGAAGCATTATTGGTCAGATTGGAGCTGCTCGACGAATGTAGGGACTTGGCGTATATAAGAATGTCGGCCCAAAAATAGAGAATGGAAAGATATTACAATCGAAGGGCCAATCTCTGTTATTTCAAAGTAGGAGACTTGGTGTTAAGGAAAGTAACTCAAAATACCCGGGAGCTCAACGCAGGAAAACTAGGTCCAACGTGGGAAGGTCCCCACCGGATTTCAGCTGTCACTAGGAAAGGATCATACGAATTGGAAAATCAAGACAGAGTAAAATTATCGAGCAACTGGAATGTGGCATACCTCAATAGATAATATTACTGATGAGCGCCGCATATACTGAAAGTACGTGCTGCACTCTTTTTCCCTTCGTCCAGTTTTTGTCCCAATTGGGGTTTTCTAGCAAGGTTTTTAACGAGGCAACAACGAAAAGCATACTAAGAAGGAAGCATCGTCATCAGAAATAAGATCTTAAAACAACAAGGCATGGAAACATAGAACTGCTATGGGACGTTTAGATAATCTTTTGCTCGGTAGAAAAGTTCCTACCGAGAAATAAAGTTTGATATCGGGCCAAAGGTTACCCGACCGTTCACGAGTGCAAGCCACTTTGGGGGTGGTTAGATAATCTTTGGCTCTATAGTAAAGTTCTTAATGGGAAGCAAAGCTTGCTATCAAACCAAAGATTATCCAACCATTCAATAGTGAAATCTTCAAAGGAGCAAAACTTCCAGTGTTCAAATTCACATTCTTTACATTCGAACACTGGGGGGATGATATGAGAATACGGCAACATGATTGCCACATCAACCGAGACTACAAAATTCGGGAACAAAGTTGTATCATCGGGACCGAGGACAGTGTGGCCAGCCCCATGGAAACAAGTTGTACAAATTAGCCACAAATAATGGCAATTTCGTTTTAGCACAACGAATGCTTATTTACTTTTTAAAATGGAAGTAATAAAGTAAAACTCCTTTTATTTTTATCTTGTTTCTTGTCTGAACGATGAATTAATTTTACCATTTGAAAGTTAAGCAAGTACTTCAAATGCTAGTGCCGGAATGAACAGGAGACGTCCTCTTCAAGAACACCGTAAACATAAGAGGGCCCTCTCTTATGAAACCCTCACAGTAAAGGGTTGGTTCCCGAAGAACTTATGCCCAGAATCTAAATGCTATCGGGAAAAATTGCAACTGAAGCCTTGCATAACTCGACGCAAAGAGAAAAATTTGCGCAATACTTAAATAAAAAAGCACTTCTATATAACAACGTGCCAAGCAACACAAGTACAAAAGTATGAAGTAAAAAACAAAAAGGAAAGAAAATAAAAAGCCAAACTACTGTATCCCCAGAATTTGGGGAAAGAGAAGAATTTGCGCCCCTAGGAGAAATAGGCGGATCTGTCGCCGGATCGAGGTCTTGACCTTCATCATCATCCCCTTCAGGTTCTTCTTTAGTTCTCGAGAACTCAAAACTGGAACCAGAAGAGTTAGTCGCATCAAGTTGGATTGGGAGACCCCTTCGGGCAGTTGACTCCACCTCACGGACCTTGGCGATCTCGGCATCAAAGTCAATGACACCCGCTTTGGCCTCTTCTAAGGTTTTTCTCCTCATGATATACATAGAATATATTTTTTCAACAATGAAGGAAGCCGCTCGGCGCTGAAGCTCTTTCTTAAGCTGGTCAACCTCTTTCGAAAGGTAATTCTGCTCGGATCTAGCGGCTTGAAGGCTAACATCAAGGTCACGGATAGTCGAGTTATAAAATTTATTATGCTCCATGACCTTATTATACTTCTTCTCCATCCGGGCATGCTTCTCCTCTGCAGTAGTAGGCTCTTTAGCTTTGGAGTTCAAGGCTGCCTCCAAATTATTTAACCTTTCAGTAGAGGCAGCCTCACGATCGGCGGCGGCGAGAACAACATTTTGGACCTCGGACCACTTTGCCTTGGCCTCTTGGAATTGTGTCCTTAACAGGGCGGTCTCTTGGCTGAGGCTCACCGCCTCTTCCTCGCTCTGCTGCAATCGAGCCTCCAACTCAATGGCCTCGACAGCTTGTGCTTCCAGTTCCGAGAGGCGAGCAGCAATTTGATCCTGCTCGTCCAACAATTGATCCCGCTCAGAGGTGAGTTTCTCTTTATCAAGGATCATCCTTTGAAGGCCTTCGGAAGCAAGGAAGTTAGCTTACAAAGTTAAAGTTCAATTCAAATATCCTGTCATAGTAAAGATATAAGAAATAATATAGAGAACAAACATACCGATGTTGTGTTGTGCATGGCATTGTTTACCATACACTCCCCCGAGAGAGAATATATTTTATTCCTATCTTTCTCTGAAGCTAGAGGCTTTAGATAGTTGGCAAGCTCCATCGGCCGGGACAGCAGGTGGCACTCGGTAAGAACCGAGAGGGAGACACTCCACCCCTATATTGTGTTGTGCATGGCATTGTTTACCATAAACTTCCCCGAGAGAGAATATATTTTATTCCTATCTTTCTATGAAGCTAGAGGCTTTAGATAGTTGGCAAGCTCCACCGGCCGGTACAGTAGGTGGCACTCGGTATAGACCGAGAGGGAGATGCTCCTCCTCCTCTGAGGATATGCAGAAGGAGGCGAATAGTTATGCCCTAAATTCTCATGGACTGGGGAGGGGGGACATCCTCCTCTCTGGTGTCTGCGGCCGGTGGAGATGATGTAGCAGTTTCTGGTGGTGAAGGCATGGTTGGCAAAGAAGGAAATGAAGCTGATGGCGTTGTGGGTTGAGAAGAAGCTGCGGAAAAAACAGTGTTAGTTATTGGTTGCTCAACAACCAAAGATGGAATAGGCTCGGTACTCAGCCTAACAGTACCGGGAGCAGCGACGGGGACTTGAAAGCGAGAGTTGGCATCTTTCACTACATCACACTCCCCCATAGAGCGCTTGGACATCATCCTCGGTTGGTGTAACTAGCTCAACAAGTTGAGCATTTTGTTGAGCTGATGAAAGTCATCATCTTCTATATAAAGAAGCCCCTTCATCACTGGATTCCCCATCATTATTGATCAACACGGTGTCTGCGGCTAGCTCGGGCGGGCGCTCTTCGCCTTTTTATTTTTACCCTAGGCCGTAGAGGAACGTCGCCTTTTTTGTTGCTTTTTCTCCGGCCGGGGACTCCGAGAGGAAGCACTTACACTGGAAGTAGGTCCGATGACACCTGTTCGGGTGACGTCCTCCTGCAGCAACCTCATCGCATCTACGGGATCAACCAAAACGTCCTCCTCGGGGATGGTAAGAGAGTCCTACGGAAGACTTGAATTCAACAAGAAGAAAAGTTAGCGAGTGTTCTTATATATGAGATAAAAACAAGATAAGTTCAACTTACCATAATTTTTGGCCTTCCACCCGTATTTAAGAGTCAGTTCTTTTCATCAGCGGGTCTCATGTGTGGTGACATCCAAAATCTTCTGGACCCACTAGTCCAAGCTTTCAACCCTTGGTGGTATCCACCGATTTGCTGAAATAATGAAAAAAGAAGGATCAGTGATAGCAAGGAAAAACCTTTAACCAGAAGAAAGGACACACGTTGAACTTACGTGTACAATTCCATAATTCAGGAAAGAATGGAGTTGTGGCGGGGATGATGTCCCTGGTGGCAACTACAACGAACCGCTCCATCCATCTACGGTCGTTGTCATCATCCATGCTGGTGAGCAAAGCATGGTGACCACGTTTGTTGAAGTTTATCATTCTCCCATGGAAAATCTTGGGGGAATAAAGGTTCATCAGTCGAGCCAGGGGGAGCTCTTCCCCCGTCTCCTGGCATAGACGCCAAAGATAGGCTATCGTCCGCCACACAGAAGGTCTCACCTACGCCAAGAAGACCTGGTAACGGAAGCAAAACTCCAAGATTACGGAGTCAAGTCCCCCGCTCAATGAGAACGGGCCCGAAATGAAGGGGTACATGTAAACGTACTTAAAACCTTCTTAGGAAAGGTTACCTGCTCCGCTAGATCGAAAGCGATGATGTTCAAATCATGTCAACCACAGTATTTCTTCATAGTAGGGAATGTTGCTCATAAAAACAAATAAATGCCTATCACCTGGTAACATTCAATGAAGAATATTCTGCAGTATTAAATACGTAGTCCGTTATAGCGAACATGACATTCATAGCCTACCATTACACATTTTTTAGTGGCCCCCATAATTGTCATTTAAGAAGGGGCTTAATCCTAGGACTTATTCCCTATGTGCAACTATAATAGTGAGTTCAACAGCCATTAGAGGGACATGAATTTTCTGATAAACTTATGCTATATACGGTTCAAAAGCTCAATAATATTTCATTCCTTGCTTATTAATATTGCTATTACTGCTTCGGAAGCTACGCTCGAAGAATCAGGCTGTTCATTGTCTTATGCTGAAGTTTATCACTATCATCAATGAATTTATATGGTGTTTAAAGTTATACGAACTTGTCTGAATGTTTATTCGTTCATTGCTTGACAAAGTAGCCAAGTTTTAGAAAATTATTGGGGAGTTGTGATTAGGCAGGACATGGCAAGGTTTTAGATCTCCGAGGATATGACCCTTGATAGAAATTTGTGGAGGTCAAGGATTAATGTTGTAGGCTAGGAAGTAGTTGAGTCTTTACTTTCTTCGTACCTTTGTGAGGCTACTATGGTAGGGTTTTTGTCGTGAGTGGCAATGTTGTGTCTTATTACTCTTTCGTTTCTCATAGTGTCGGGTATATTTACTGGCTATCGCTTTTGCTTTCCATGTATCTTCTTGTTCCCATGTTACTTTTCTTATGATTTATGGGATGGTACTAATATTGTTTCTTTTTGTATTCTTGAGCCGAGAGTCTTTTGAAAATAGCCTCTCTATTCCCTCGGGTAAGGGTAAGATCTGCATACATACTAACCTCCCAAGACCCCACTAGTGAGATTTTATAGGGTCGTTGTTGTATATCCCATGCTTTATTACAGCAGAGAACTGCCAAATGAGTGAAGTTCAATGTGATGGTTTTTGTGGAGGAAAAAAAGAGGAGGAAATGGTCTCCTGCGCCCTCCTGCAAAAAAAAAAAAAAAAAAAAAA